TGACAATGATATAAACTTTTTTTTTCTCAAAACAGTTGACCTAACATCATCAAATGACATTTTTTTCCATTTTATTTCATTTTATCTGATTTCAATCTTTTGTTGTTGTTGTTGTTGTTGTTGATTGTCGTCAAACCAAAATTGAATTCTATTTTGGTTTGCGAAAAAAAATGGCTAAGGATATCCGTATCGTTGACTATATTACCGAAAAAAAGGGTCGTCTATTGATGGTGTATGGTATCAGATGGAAAAACAAACACACCATGAACGCAAACAAGCACGTGTATTTTGAATTTTGTTAATTTTTTTTCTCGTTTTGTTTTGTTTTCTTTTTTGAATTTCAAAAAAAAAAACAAGAATTCTGATAAAATCTCTAAAATCCTCTTCACATATGATGATGAGGATGATGTTAAAAAAAACCAATGTTGATGTTTTCATTCATTGATTGTAATCAATTACATTCTATTATTATATATGGCATAAACGGCACACACACACACAAAATATGATTCAAAAACATAAACACGTGTCGGTTTTTGATTACATCGATTGATTGTTTTGAATTGTATTACACATTTCTTTCAATGACCACTTTAAAAAAAACTTAACATTTAATGATAAAAAAAACGTCTAATGTGTGTATGTGTAGTTGATTAGCTTTCTCACTCGAAATACAGAATTGAACAAAAAAAAACTAACAAATCGATCAAAGATTGACTTTGAAAAAAAATCTTTCATTTTTCCTCTCGTAATAATGATGAAGCAACAACGAAATTGAATTGAAAACTTATCCAGAAAACGCTCGTGTGTGTGTGTGTGTGTGTCGGTGTGCATGCATTCATCATTCATCTTGACGCTTTTTTTTGTCATTGTTGTTGATTCTAAATTCATTTATTCAGATAAAATTTGATCAATCAACCAAAACATCGGGTTGTGTGTTGTTGTTGTTGTTGTTGTTATTGTTAATTTTTTTCAATTTAATCATCAATAGAATGACTAAATTGATATTTGAAATTGTGAAAGAATTCCATTTCATTTTGGATTGTATATGTGTGTGTGTGTGTGCGTTTTGTTTTGTTTTGTCACACAATTGATATGAGATGATCCATTGATTAAAACAAACAAACCGAAATAAATGAACGGAAATGAGATCAGCCATGTTTGTTGTTGTTGTTGTTGTTGTTGTTGTTGATCATATTGGATTCCATCCTCTACGATTACATTCAGGCATCATTTTTTGTTTCCATTTTATTAACTTTTAAATAGGGAACATTTCATCAATTGTCATTGAGAATTTTTGTTGTTGTTGTTGTTGTTGTTCTGCCCTGTAGTGAAGTGACTGGTTTGTTTCGATGTGTGTGTGTGTATGTGTGTGTCATTCATTTGAATCACTCTTAATAATCAAAAAAAAAAAAAGAAAGAAAGAAAGAATCCAATGATTCTTTTTTTTCTATCTCATTTAATCGCTGATTTATGACAATGGTTTTTCCTGTCTATTTGGTTTGTATGTGTGTGTATTTGGTACGTTTCATGGTCATATTTCCACATACAATACAATTAAATGGCTAAATTGGCCTCCGCACACACACACACACAAACACATCAGATTCATGGCGCAATGGCCAATCATCAACCCTATGGAGAATCAAACCACCACCAATGGTTCCACAATAGGACGACCACATGCTGTCACAATGTTTGATTCTATATTCTAACCGAATAATAACAGAAAGAAAAATCAGATGTCAATTGCAGTCAATGAAAAAAAAAAAAAAAAATTTGATTCGTTTTCTTTTCATTCTATTCAATTTTCAATCTATTTCTTTATGTATGTGTGTGTGTGTGTGTGTGTTCATTTTGTATTTTAGGAAATCTATTTCGTAGCTAATTGTCTTTGTTGTTGTTTTCTAATTTCTTCATTATTCTTCACACACAGACCACGAGAATATTGGCTAACTAGAATTCAATTTTTATATTGTAAAGAAAAAATCCCGGGATCCCATGAGAACTATCAAAACCAGAAAAAAATAGAAATGTTCACACCTCGCTACCGATTACAACATACAATGTATTTTTGGGGTAATGTAGCCTTTTTTTTTTTTTTTCGGGTTTCATTTTGATAAACCAAAAAAAAAAAAAAAAAAAAATTTGAGCTCAAGACACACACACATTTTATGTGATTACATCTTCTATATTATTTTGTGACAATATATTGTCCATCCATTCTGATTGATCATCATGTTGTTTTTGTTATACAATTTTCAAGCAAAACACACACACACAAAAAAACAATCATTTGGTTGCTTTGCCCACCACCAACTGGCCACCATTGATGTTGATGATGATGATGAAAATCAAGATTCATGATATTTGTTTGATATAAAGTTGTTGTTGTTGTTGTTGTTCAAATTGTATACTGTCTCTCTCTGTGTCTATGTTTCACATGATTTAATTAAGTTGTCAACTGAATGAACAAACACAGAGAGAGAAAAAAATCAATGCAAAATCTATGATGGGCCCACCCATTCATTCATTCATTCATTCATTTCAATTGATAAAACCATAGAATCTTTTGGCATATTTAAGTAGATTACATTATGGTTGGTGGTGATGGTGGTGGTGGTGGTGGAGGATTTATTGATATTGGACACACAAATATAATGCCCATAGACTGAAATTCATATTTGTCTTTTGGCTCAATAATTTTTACGAATTATATTCCTGTTCCTGATTCCGAATAAACACTGGTCTGGTTTTCATTTTTCCTACATTTGGTAAACGGCGATCCAAACGAAACTGTAAATCAAACACAATTGAAATCAATTGACCAATCTGGTTTCTGTTTCTCAATGAAGAAGCGAACCAAAAAAAAAATCAAACATAAAGAAACGAAAAAAATATGTTTCATGTTTTTCATTGTTGGATCAATGAGTGAGTCAATGATTCAATGAGATTTTTTCTTTCTTTTTTCAATTCGTTCGATTGAATTCAGAATTCAGTTTTTTTTTCGTTTTTATTTTTCATTTTATTTTCATCAATGATCAATCTTTTTATCATCATCATCATCATCATATTGAAATCCTGTTGTGAGAAAAAAAAAACGAAGAGCATGGGGATAGTTTCCGGAAATATATATCACTGTCGTTGTCATTTTGATTAATTAATAAAAAAAAATAAAACTGAACACTGAGTTTGATTTATTGATTTTTTTTCTGGTATATCCAAAAAACGAACGATGATTCATTTTGATTCCTATATTTCCGGTTTTGTTATTTTTTTTTTGGTCATTTTATTTTATTTTGATCATCATCAAATTATAAAAAAAAGACGATTACAATTACATTAGAAACGAATGAATTTCATTAGATTTTTTTAAAATGAATTTATGATTTGATGATAGTGGTACGTGTAAATGAATTTAAATTGAAGAATTTTTTCGTTGTCTTTTATCAATAATAATAATAAAAAAATTTCTGGCCAAGATAAACCAACTAAATGATAATTTATTATAGTCGATATTGGATTTGTGTTTGTATATGTTGGCCATGAATTTAATGTTATATTTGTTGAAGTGATCTGAGATTTTTTGATATCTCGTTATATATTAAAGGTTTTGTATGTTTTTTTTCTGTTCAGCATAAATTATTAACCTCAGCTGACCTTTTTTGGATCGCTTGTCTTTTTTTGTTGAACAAGAGAAATAGAGATCAAATGCTCATCATTTCTCTGTCATCATTGTTAAAATTACAACAACAACAACAACAATAACAATAAAAACCATAGACAGATGGCTTTTTTTGCTAGTTTTAGTGGTTTGTATCTATATAATATAATTTCTGGATCATCATTATTATTGGAACAAACCGTGAGAAGATTCCAGCAGCACCAATTTATTTATTTCGAAAAAATTTTTCAAAAAAAAAAAAAATCCCTATATGATTATTCTGTAAATCCTCTTTTGTATTGTGTGTGTGTGTGTGTGTGTTTGGCTGACTGATGATGATGGTTTATTTTATCGACTTCTTAAATATATTTGATCCGATTATTTTGATTTCGAATTTTTTTTTTTTTTTTGGAAATAAATGATGTAAATGATCCGTAAACAACTTTAGCTTATGCTTGTACAACACACACACACACACACACACACAGGTTATGTTTGGGTGGTTAATTATATACATTTTTTTTTATTCAATCATCATCATGAAAAGGAAAGAATTGTACGTTGTTTTGTAAATATGAATATATTAAATAGAGTGTGGTGACGTGGTTTTTTTTCCCAAATATTATCACGCAATCTATCTATCTATCTATATTTATTTAGAATTAAAAGTTTTCTTTTCTAGCCGGTCCATTGATCTATTCAACGAACCAAACCCCTAAAAACCTGATAATACATTGGGTGTCCATCTCATGACACGTGTCAGTTTTGTTATTGCTGTTGTTGATGATGATGATGATGATTAAATTATTTGTATGGCCGAATGACAACCGTTAACATGTGATATATATTTATTTATTTAAATCTTTCCACAAACACGCACACACACACACACACACACACAAACCGGTGTTTGGTTGTTAATCTTTGGTTTGTTAAATTGATATTATAATATTCGAATACCCTAATTAGTTGTAGTAGTAAATATAACCTATTGGAATATCCGATTTTCGTTTTCTCTTTTGTTCATCTTGTTGATTGAATGAATAACATTAAATGATCGTTTGATCGATTTTTTTTTTTACTCATTCAAATTTTAACGAATCTCAATCATTGTAGACAAGTATGAGTCAGTCGAGTGAATGACTAAGAAATTCAATTGGATTTTCATTTTGTCAAATTGTGGTTAATCTTTATTTGAAATTATTTCGAAAATTAAATCAATTTGTCTGAATACAAATCAAATTTTTTTTTTCACTTTTCATCTAGCTAAATGGTCTCGAAAGACTTCTCATCATCATCATCAACAGAGAAATCATTCGGAAATTCGAAACGATCATTTTGGAACATGTAACAATAAATTTTTTATTTCATTATTCTTTATGTCGGTAATATTAATTCTGACATACGGGGGCAGTTTTTTTTCTGAATGAATGAATTTTTTTTTTTTTAGTGAACAAAAATGATGACAACTATATTATATTTCCTATTAGAGAAACAACACAAATGAATGTCTAATGATCTAATTGTTTTTTTTTTGTTTTCAAAAAAAAATTTTTGTTTTTCCGTTCATATGTACATTGAATTATCAATTTGAAACATTTTTTTTTTTTGGATCGATCAAATCAAATATTGTGATGGTGTTGGATACTGTCAATCAATTGTTCCAGAATAAACTTGATCCCCATGCTGCAGCTGCGGCTGCATGTTGTGACATTAGTTGTTGATGATGTGTTGTTGTTGTTGCTGCTGCTGATGCTGCTGCTGATAAATGATTTGAAGATGGAGGTGTTGTTCCTGGATGATGATGATGATTATGATGTGGATGTGAATGATGACCATAACTAGCAGCAACAGCAGCCATTGCAGCAGCACTCATCATATTAAATGTTGATGGTGGTGGTGGTGGCGGTTGTGGATGATGTCCATTATTATTATTATTATTATTGGCCGATGTTGTTGATGTAGGCGTTGTTATTGTTGATGATGATCCATATTGTATACCTGCTGATACAGCTGCCATTGCTGTAGCATTTGTTGTTGGTGTTGGTGGCGTTGTTACAATCGATCCATTTGTCATAAGTAATTCTTTATTACCATGATGATGATGTTGATGATGATGATGATGATGATGATGATCACTACCACCCGTTGTTATTGATTTTGATTCAGCTTGTCCAGCACGAATTAATCCCGAAAGTGATAGACGCCTTGATGATAATGTACCACCAATATGATGTGATGATGGCTGTGGAGAAGCTGTCGATTGTACTAACGATGTTTGTTGCTGTTGTTGATGATGATGATGTTCCATTGTTTTTTCCTGTGTTGCTCGTTTAGTTTTATAACGATGATTCTATTTTATAATGAAAAATAATGGGATCATGATGTTATTGTTTGTCATAAAATTTGCATTTCTAATTTATTCATTTATTGAAAATGATTTACAGAATATATTAACGATAATACAAATACATACCTGGAACCAGATTTTCACTTGTGTAGGTGTCAAATGAATAATATTTGCTAAATGTTCACGTTCCGGTGCAGAAAGATAACGCTGATGACGAAATCTTCGTTCCAATTCAAATGTTTGTGCTTTACTAAATAACACACGTCGTTTACGTTTTTTCTGTGGTCCAATACCACCACCAACAATATCCACTGTTCCATGATGATGATGATGATGATGATGATGATAATCAGACGATTTATTTGAATCACCATTTCTCATTAGATCATCATCATCAATCATATCATCAGTACTATCGGTAACGCTTAGATTTTCTTCAGAATTATATGGACTTTGATTATTGCTTGTTCGATTAGTGTTTGTTGGTGAAAATAATGATCCCGTTGATGGACGATGATTGTTAACGGTAAATTTTCCATGATTATAATTGGCAGCTAAATTTTTATATGATGCTGCTAATTCTGTATCTGGATTTGTTTCGACAAATGTATTACCATTTTGATTACCATCCAATAAATGTAAGCCAAACAATGATGTTGATCCATCCAAATGATGGCCCAGGTGATTTGGTAATGTTGAACCTTTTTTTCAAATGAAAAAAAATTTGATCCATATTTTATTATGAAAATGAAAAACAAGTAAATTGAAAAATTAAAGACAAAAAAAATCCACACATACCTAATGCCGATGAATATGCACCAAATGCTGATGGATTTAGAAATGGATTTGTATCTGGATTCGTATTAGCAGCAAAATAACGGCTATATGCTGATGCGTATTGATCATTTGTTGTTGATCCACCATTACCAGTACTGGGATTATAATAGAATGATGATGATGTATTCGTATTTGGAAAATTATTATTATGGTTCAAACCACCATTCGATTCTATGATTGATGATGATGATGATGATGATTGCACATTAAGTATTTTTGATGATTGTCGTTCACCAGGTGTTGCTGTCGTTGATGTCGTTGTCGATGTTGTTGTCGATGTTGTTGTTGTTGTTGTTGATTGACCATCATCAACTATGACACCACTATTATTTAATTTAGAAGATTTATGATTATTATTATTATTATTATGATTATTTTGATTATCATTTTTATTTATAATTGAATTATTATTATTATTAGCCGATTGGGATGATGTTATTGTTGATGATGATGATATTGATGATAATGGCCTGGATTCTTTATCCATATCATCATTATTATTATCATCATCATTATTTGGTTCATCATTTTTATTATTATTATTATTATTACGATTACCAAGAATATCTAAAACACTAAAACCAGTTTTCGTTGTTGTTGTTGTTGATTTATTTGGACTAGATGTTTGTTTATTGTTTATTTTTGTACTATTTATGATTGATTTATGTGTTATTGATTTAGTATCCAATTCTTTTGGATTATGATCTCTATGTACATTTGGTGATGATGTTGTTTTTGATCTTGATTCTGATGATATATTTCGTTTTCTATTTGAATTTTGATGATGATAATGATGTTGATGATGATGATTATGATGAGAATCATATGATTCGGGTAATAATTTTAACATTGCCGATGTTGAAGACATAATTGAATGTTTATTATTATGATTAATAAAATTTTTAGCTAATAATGAATTAACAAATGGAGCCATAAATGCTGCCATTGATGATTGCTGTAAGGCTGGATTTATTTGTGGTGCAATAATCATCGATGCTGATGATGCTAAGGCGGAATTGGATTTATCTAAAATTCCATTTGTTTTCAATAATAATTCTTGTTGCTGTTGCTGTTGCTGTTGTTGTTGTTGTTGTTGGGCCAAATAAATGGCCTGAATTTCTTTATGTGCAGCCAACATTATCAATTGTTGTTGTGTTAATTGTGTTGAATGTGATGATGACGATGATGGCAATGATAATTGCGGTGTTATCGATGTTGTTGTCATTGTCGACGATAAAGAGGCGGATGATGTTGATGTTGGTAATTTTTTATTGATTTCATTCGAATCAATTTCATTTATTAACGATAATTCTTTATGTTTTTTTCCAATTTGTTCCATTTTTTTCTGTTGTAATGATGATGGTGATGTTGATGATGATGGTGGTGTTGATGATATGGATGGATATGATGATGATGATGATGATGATGCAGATGATAATGATGGTGATGTTGATTGTGTTTCTCGTTTAGTAATAGTATTCTGTATCATTTCTGTTTTTGTTTTCTTATTTCTTTGAAACTTTTCAAATCACACCTTGACCATCAAAAAAAAAAAATCAAATCAAATCAATTTTTTTTTTGATACAAATAAACGTCGATTATATATGTGTGTGTTGGCTAGAATAAATTCTTAAATATGAAATATATGTGTGTAAAATAATCTCTAGAGCTATTTTGTTGAATTGGATAATCTTATGATGATGTGCTTGAAATTATAGTGGTCCGGATCTCTTGATTACCGATAATAAACACACATACCAATAGAGATGACAGATGCTTGATGGCAATTAACTTTGAACAACATTTAATATTAATAATAATAATTTGCAATAACGATCTAATGGGTGAGAAGGAGGAAAAAAAGAAAATGTTTAATCTTTTTTTTTCTTCTTTTTGTTGCAGCAAAAATGTAATCAAATTTTTTTTTCAATAAAAACGATGGCTTAATCCAATTGGATTGTCGATGACACTTGTGTGTGTGTGTATGATGAGTGTGCGTGTGTTTGGTATGTTGATCAGATCTGGTGGGCTCAATAGACTTGATTCTTTATACACAAACACACAAAAAAAAATGTGATCACTTAATAAATGCCACTTGTCATCAGGTTTGGTAGGTAGGTAAGGTAAGGTATGCTTGTGATATACTTGATTTTCGATTGTAATCGTTTACCATTTATAATAATAATAATAATAATAAGGAGTTTTATGATGATTTCTTCAGGATTTGTTTTTTAATTTATTTGTCCTTCACTTATTCCAATTTGATGTTTGTTTGTTTGTTTCTTCAATTCAATAATGTTGACGATAATCATACTTGAAGGATGGATTTTTATTTGATGATGCTGATCAAAATCGAAATGTATTGGAAATATTATTTTTGAAGGTTTATGTTTCAAGATTGTCTTGTTTGTTGTTGTTTTGCTGTAAAGTTTTCAAATATAAATCCAATCTATATTTGACAATTTATTCTTTTTTTTTCATGATTTCAAGATAGACATTTTGAATACAGACATAAATTGTTGTTGTTATTTCTGTGTAGAAATAGGCGTTAACCATTGATATTCATTCTTTTTTCAATACGATGATTTTCATTTATTATTACGACGATGGGTTGTTACACACTCTATTGATGATGATGATGATGGCTGGTTTTTTTCAGTTTTTGGTATATATAAATTTAGCCCTGGTACCTGGCCACCAAAGCCAAAATTGAGAAAACCAGAAAAAAAAGAACCCTCTTGTGTGTAATGATGATTGGCGCTGGCGCACTTCAAATGGTTAAGAAGAAAAAAAAATTGTTGTCATTCAAGAGAGAGTATGTAGTGCGTGTTGTTGTCCATAGTGTATGAAAATACGATTGAAGAGTATGGACAAACAAACAAATAGAAAAAAAAAAAAAAAAAAAAAACCGAATGAAAGTTGAATTTGAACAAAAAACCATAGAGAATGAGAAAGATCGAGGGAGTCATATATACTACACATTTTTAAAGAGTATATTTATTTACCAAATGTAGTGTGGAAGAAGAAAAAAAAGGTTGAAACTTATACAAAAAAGTAGGTTGGACTTGTATTGTAGAGTGTTTTATATGCAATTTTTTTTTATATTGACGAATGGCTTTGGTTTGTATATTGTTGTTGTGTTGTATATTTGGTACCCATTATTATTATCATTGTGTGTGTGTGTGTGTGTATTCTTCTATTATGAATTGAATATACAATACCATAAGAGCACTCTCCAATGTGCTTCGTGCTCTAGTTTTTTTTTCTCATCTTCTTTACTCACTTTATGGTTGTTCATTCCTTTTTTTTCGTTATTCATTCGACATTGAATGAATGAATGGAAAATCTTCAAGACAAGAGGAGTTTGTTTTTTTTTCGTTAGTTAGTTAGCTAGTTAGTTAGAAGTGAACGAGATTTGAGTGTGCGGCATAAGTTTCCATCTCTCTTTAGTTTATTCATTCATTCAATGTTTGTGTGTGTGTGTGTATAGCCAATCGAATGGAATTGAAGAATCCCACCTCTTTTACCAGAAATTTTATTCACACACACACGCACAAGCTTTCTTCACTTTTTCGGCGTCGCGCACATACTTCAAAAAAAAAAAATTCCACATCGGGCCCACATTCCAGTTGAGCATAGAGCTCTATTTTTGCTTTTTCCTCTTCTTTTTTTTTGGATCTATGAATTGTGTGTGTATGTGTGGAACCACACAATGGAATTCCAGACCAAAATCGGTAAAAAAAATCACAAAGCGCAAGTATCCACTTTTCTTTTTCCTCTTTTTTCTAGATTCTTGTTCTTCTTCGTCGTTCGAATCTCTCATGTTGTCAACCACCACTTTTCATTTTAAAAATCGAAACTACTTTGATGTTCTGCGCACGTCGACAATCCAAAATGAAACAAATAAAGAATATACAGAATGAAACTTGACAACAACAACGATGAGAAAAAACCAACCTAATCATCATATATATATCATCAAACAAATAGAAATTGTTTTCACTGGATTCATATATAAATTCAATATATTTTGTACATTCTCATTGTCATCGTTATGTCATCAAAGTCAATGGCGTCACACATACACACACACACACACACAACATGGATGGCAAGGACTTTTTTTGTTGTTGTTGCTTTCCTCACTTATAATCAAGAACAACGGGGTGAACAACAACAAAAAAAATTAGAAAGAGGCTTGAACATCCACCGTAGTATAATACCGTAGTATACAATTTATTATTGTTGTTGTTGTTGTTGTTAGTCCCTATGGTCCCCAGAAAATGAAATCGTTCGGGTTGTTGTTGTGTTCACACACACACACACACACACACATTGTACCATTGTTTAGTTTAGATTAGATTAACACCTCTTGGTTTATAACATTAGTTAGTTATTCGTCTCTTGTGTTCTCTGAATTTATATATACGAATCATTAATCACATTTAATAAAATGAAATAAAATAGCTACTATTCATTCATATGTAAAAGCAAAAGGCAATGATTATTATTATGATGATGATGACAATAATGATTCTCTCTCTCTCTCTTTCTTTCTGTGTGTTCCTTATGATGAGGAGGATTAACGGTTTTTTTTCACTATTGCCATGTACACTCACACACGTTTTTTCATTTGCTTTTATAATGTAAATGACCAACAACAACAACAACAAAAACAAAAAATGATTATCCCCAAGTATTGTTGACGATAACAACGAAAAAATCTAGGGCTAGGTCTCCATTTATAATATTGATTGTACACACACACACCATCATCATCATTGTTCATTATTAAACATTGTACAAGGGGCTTTATATCGATTTTTTTTTATATCTAGGCTCGGGTCTATATCGATGATGATGATGATGATGATGATGGTTGATTCATTCATTCCTCCCCTTTAGTCGATCCTGATCTTGATTGATCACCTACTACTATGATTTAAAGAGAATGGGGCCAATATGGATTTTGTTTCAATGAATGAATCTGCAAAAATGCTTAGAGGTACTACCTATAGATTTGTTAGAATTTTCTACATTTAGCAACATTGTTCATGATGATGATGATAATCCCACTCGTTGATCTGAAGCACACACACACACCTTGTTGTTGTCGTTAGTTTTACATCATCAGTGGTCATCAATGCCAAAAGTCAGCAAGGAAAAAAAATATTCATCAAGATTTACCAGAAGATTTTAATTATAATTTATGATCATCAAAACAAACAAACAGAAAAAAAACACTTTTCTTCGTTATTTTTTTTCTCTCTCAACAAGTCAATTATAATGCGACAGGAACAGGGTGATTGGACCATTTTATATTTTGGATGTCAGTGGAAGAAGAAAAAAACTGTGAAAAAATTTTCTCGAAAAAAAAAATCAATCATCAGATGTTGTCTTTGTTATTGAAATTTTTTTATTTCTTATTTCAACAACAAAATGAAACTTTTACATTACATTTTGGTCATCTATGATGACCTTCCATACATCCATTGGTGGAAAACAATAACAAATCCAATAATCTAAATACTTTTTTTTTGTTTCGAATTACATACACACACACACACACAGAGAGAAAGAGACATGTGTGTATGTTTTTCGGATTATAATTAATTTCCATTTGGGTCAATTTGTGCAACACACACACACACACACACACACACAGAATAACGTGTGTGTGTGGTTGATAATGGTTTTTTTTGGCTGGATGACTTGATTTCTTTTTCATCTACTTCTTCGTCTTCTTCACATTTTCATTCTGAAAAACCATCATCATCATCATCATCATAATAAAATTTAGTAGCGAAAAAAAAAATCAACCCAACCAACAAACTGTGTGTGTGTGTGTGTGTGTATGTTTGATGAAAAAAAAGAAATGTGAACGGAAACGTGCCGAGTGTATTATATTATTATATCAAACACCAAAAACAATGATAACTTTTTTTTGTGGTCTCTTCATTCATTCATTCATTCATTTTCACGATTCTATAATGATGATGACGAGA